CTGGGCTCCTCTGCAGCCCCGTTAGATCACACCCACCGCGCAGGTCAGAAGCCCTGAGAGGAAGCTTGATAGCCCCCCTCCGTGCAGCCTGGCTCCGGGGAGCACGAGGGCAGGGGCGCGGGTGTCTAGGCGCTGCCGAGGAGAAGGCAGCCGCTCCGAGGGCGGGAGAGCGCCTGGCGTTTTTATCCCAATGGCTATGGTCAAGCCTGGAAGAGTTGTTAGCGATAGTCTGAAAGGAAGACATGTCTGATAAGAACATAAGCAGTTTGGCCCCGGAGAGGAGTGTCTCAATAACACACTATTAAGTTGTGCAATGCCTGACAGCCAGCCAAGGGCTGAAGGATTCCCTTGTCTGTACTGAAAGCTACAGCAGCTGCTTGACAACAGGAAACAATGTGTAGTGAATGGAAACAGTGGGTGGTGCTGACTGAACAACTTCCCTTTACATCACTGCCCAAATAAGGAGCTTTAAAAATAACCTTTTCTATTACAGCCAGTCAGAACATCCCCCTGAAGTCTCAGGGTTCCTACCTCTTACAAGACAGAGTCATGAGAGAAAGAAGGCTGCAGTACAGGGGGCATGGGAACAGAGTCTCTGCAGGTAATGAAATCCTGATTGCTTCCTTCTGAACAATGAACATACAGTGGCGTTTTTCTCTTCTTACCAGCTATGGTCAAAACAGAGAGGGGCGGGTGGGGGGCAGCACAGCAAATTAGGCCAGAGTCAATTAAGGGCACTTGTACCACTCAGGCATGTCTCCCTGATGAGGTCACTCTAATGAGTAACCAGGAGTTACTGGATGTAGGACTACTGTATACTGTATACACGAAGAGCTTGTTTCTCTTGATTCTTCGCCAGGCAGCCCAGGCACCAGTGCTGGCAGATAAATAAGCTGCAGTTTGAATGTTAATGGCAGTGTATCTTTAATTGATGTCCTCGAGGAGTCCGCCTTGGGACTGGCACTGGTGGCACTGGGAGGGGTGGTCACTGGTAGTTTTAGGAGACATTGATCCAGAATGGCTTTTATTTTCTTCTTTATTAGTAGAAGTGGGAAACAATAAGGATGTTCTTGTCTGACATTTGATTGTTGTGTGCAGGCTCTTTTAACAAGGTTCTGGAGGACAGCTTTTGTATCGGACTGACTTTCCAAGATTGGAGTATTAAAAAAAAAAAAAGAGAAGAAAAACCCTGCTAGATTAAGACAATACGAGTAGAGATATCTGCAAGATAGGTGGGCCTTTAACTGGGGTAACCAGTTGGGTATTTTATCTTTTTAAGTGTTTCATTGCAGATTAACACCTGCACATCAGCATTAAATGAGGCAGTTTTAGAATGCATTAAGTCTGAGAGAATGAACACTAATGATTTAAGTTTCTTAATCCTTCTTGATGGAAATTAATAATGTCTGTGATATACCCAAAGGTGTAATCTGAACTGCAGACATGAATTGAACTCCTGCATGCAAATGTATGCTTTTTTATTTCACGTAAGAGGTTGCTGGAAAGGGTTGTGTGTTTTCTCAGTTTTTTTAGCCATTGAGGTTTGGAATTTACTGTGCAGCTATCAGGAGAGTGTTTTGGCAATTCTGCCAAGTTAAACTCCAGCACGTGAAAATGATTGTGGCAGCTGACATGAAAATGTGTAGCGTGACCAACAGAATCTAAATCCAGAATCCGTGGCTTGCTAGCTTTTACTGGACAGGTATCTGAAAATTACTAGTGTCAGTAGGCAGGGACACTTTTAGTCTTCAGCATGTGGAAAGCAGGCCACCAGATACTTCGATATCCCTTCTTTGAATGGTCCTGTGCCTCTTGTTCTGATTCCTCTTGCTAGGTTTTTTGGGTTCCCTTGAGAGCGTGAAGCAGAAGAGGCCTGTTAATGTTCACTGGAGGCTATTGTGTTGGGCTTTGTGTACACAACCTCAGCAGTTTAGAAACTTTACATTCTGTTTCCCACATATATACAGTATGGTCAGAATTGAGACTCCCTTTAAGAATAAAACAGCAGTTTTTGTAGAAACATAATGGGAGAATGGAAGCATCTCAGTTGTCATCTGACTGGATGGGTGGAGAAACAAAAACCACAATAGTAGCATTAATCGTATCCCCCACTGAGTTGGCAGCCTCAGCAGACAGGCTCAGGACTGAGCAGGCCCAGCCAGCAGGATCAGATTTCCTTCTCAGCCCTAGTGGTGATGCATAAGGGAAATGCATGTCTCCATCCTCTGTGCTGTCTCTGCTGTCTCTCTTCTGTGAGTAGAGGTCTTCTATCTACAAGGCTTGTGACATGGCCTCTTCCTTCAGCACAAAATTCACTTTCGTCATTATTAAGGAAAAGGTTAGGGGGTGACTGGGACAGGGATCATTAACAGGGAATCTGTATTTGTGTATCAAAGATGGTAAGCTAGCATTTCAGTTCTTAATTAAGTTCCGTGCTGGTGAAAGTGCAAGCAAGTTACAGTTGTCCTCGCAGCAATTTTCTACACATCCTTAGACACTCTCATGTATATTGGTGCTTCCCCAGCCTCCTCCATTAGAAAATGTTCTGCACCTGTTGAACACACATTTATTTCCATGCCGATTTGCTGAAGTGTAAAGAAAATGGATTGAATTACATCCACTGTTACAGATTAAAATAATCTTAATCCACAGCGGGTATATTTCTGACATCTCAGTGACATTTATAGTTTAAGGAAAAGGTTGGGGGGTGACTGGGAAAGGTTTGTATACAGATATACTCTTGGCCACCGCTGCATCTTTTGTATTCTCCATATTTTAACAGGGAGCTCCCACAAAATTTCTTTCCTTGCTCCTTAAATTTCTGTCCCAGCTATTTTTGTGACAGAGAAAATGGAGAAAGGGACTGCAGACACTGCTTGTTTGTTTTCCCATGTAGGCAAAATCACGTTCTCATGACTATAACCAAGGAGGCAGGCAGAATTGTGCGGCAGAAAAACTCAGAAATGTTTGGAGTTTACTCTTGAAAAATATACAGAGGCTTTCAGTAGAATAGCACAGTGTTCAGCATGTGTAGTTTGCAGTGTGTGCGCATGTGCGTGTATGAGATCAAGCATATAGGACTTCTAGGGGGATATATAGGAATGAGTCCACTGAGAAAACGTTTTGAAATACCTTTTATTTCAAACATAAAAACTGAAAAAGCGCAACTGAGAAATATTTCCTGAGCTCACAGGATTAAAGCATCTCTATCTTGGATACTTTTAGCAGTAACCGGAGAGTGTATGGATTTGTCAGGGTTTGGGAAATCACCCCAACCATCCCTTTAGTTTAGTGGCAGCTCTTTAGCAGGGACTCCTGGGAACTCCCTGCAGCATGTCTCTGGTGAATTCCCATGGTTATGTTGGGCAAAGTCCTTTTGCACTGAAATAGCTCATTTACCTTTAATTTCTTCAGTGCTCCAGTCTTGAAGTTCCTACTGACTGTACTCAGAGGAGTATTGCCTTTATAACTCCTGGTTATGTCTGGCTGCACCTGTTGAATTCAAATTGTATTTTGGTGGATTTGTTATTTCTAAACTGTCTTCTAGTGGTTGCTTTCTTAAAGATGGGCTCAATCTTAAACTACATTCTGAAAAGGAAAGTAAGTAATTTGTTTTAATTTAAACAGTGTTTTTATCTAGCATTAAGGCTAGGGACAAATTACACACAAACTGGTATAAATGATCAGAAGCCAGTTCAGATCTGTAACACAGCACAAGTTCAGCATGCTTAAACCACTTTCAAAATGGTCGAAACTGATTCAAGATAAATCTGGGTGGATGTAGTATCAAACTGATTTAAATCAGTTTATTGAACTTCTGTCCCAGAACCCATCCAGACTCAAGTTAACTCCCAGTCCCCCAGCATCCTGGGATGCTTTGCACCTCCCTCGCAGGGTGGGCGGGGTAGCCTTGGCCCAAGCTGTCTGCTCCAGCTGAGCAGGGAGGTGTGCTGTAGTGCCCCCCAGCTTCTGGTTTGAGCCACTGCAGGCATGTGGCTGCATTTCTGAAATCAAAAGTAAATCCTGTTCACTTGGTTATCTGTTCAATCTATGCAGTTTAGACTAACCTGCAAAGATTTAATTGTTTTAGCCCCAGGTTTTTTTGTCTGTCTGTCCTTAAACTAAAAAGGCTGCTTTTTAGCAGCTCTTTATGGCTCTGCTGGGATCTGCAGTCAGCTGGGGCAGTTATGATGCTGGGGGCCTTGTTTATTCTTTCCCTCTGTTCTACTCGGTACACTTACTGAGTTTTTCCTACCTTTAGTTTGTTAACCTGACCCTGTTGGAGTGAAAGATTCCTCATGAGTCCTCCCTCTCCCCGGCTAAGCTCTCCTGCTGAGACCACCTTGTAAGAGGTTGCCATCAGCCTTCTCGCTGCTACTCAAATGAGAATTAACCAGCCAGTCGTTCCCTTTGCCTGCTAACCAGGATCTCAGTCAGTATAATCCTTACAGTAATCAGAAGATTTGTATCCAACCCTGCTCTAATTGTATCTCTGCATAAGTGAGTCTTTTAACACGAGTCACAGAAAGCCTTGCGTGTTAGGAAGAGCACGTGCTAAAGAGACTGGGAGATTTTTTCACCCAATCAAAAGCACTCATGAGAATAAATGTTCAGCAAACCTTCGCTCCCTACCACCGCTCCCTACCACCTCTTAGCATTTCTGCTAGAAAGGTACTGACAGTATCCCAGACCATCCTTCCACCCCATAAGTCCAGGCCAGATGCAGATAGCATAGTATTGGCTTTCCCAGGTACTTGAACCTAACCATGCCCTTACCATGCTGTCCCATTTCTCTATGCAGAAAACTTTCCATAGCCACAGTGTGAGCAAGCTGTCCTTGCGCAAACAGGGTTATGTGCTCTTCAGGGCAGAGACTGATCTCTGCACGGCAGAGGAAGATGAACCGAATATATATATATATATTTTTTTTAAGTGTACAGAGCCAGCCATGTTATATGGAAAATTTCTGAGAAGCTTTTTCCTGAGCAGGAGCAATAATAACGAATCTAGCTAAGACTGTCTAAATATATTCTTTCTAACTCCCTCTTTGCTGTTGCACAAAGCTTTCTGTATTGAGGCACTTTTCTTTTGGAGAGTGTGAGTGAAAACCATTCAGCAGCTTTCATACAGGGGTCAGTGGAAGGAAAATATAAGCAAGATCAAGTTGTACCCACACTTCAAAAATGGGTATTGCTTGAGCATCAGCGTCCTCATTCCATGCTGTCTTGCAGCTTCTGCAGTCACTTACTTCTGGGCAGAATGAATGTAAAATGCTATGGCTGGAGTGGGTGAGTGAGGTAGCATTTTACATTCATTTTGCACAGATGTAAATAATGAGATGAGATGCAAGGCAGGGAAGAATCTGGCTTGGAGTTTTAAAGAGCACAAGTGCATCAGTTTAAGTGGCAAACTGTGGGTTCAGTAAATGCTGTTTTCAGCCTTATAGTAAACTTTAAAGGGGCAGGCAGGAGGGGGGGAGGGGCGGACCTAGAGTTTCTGGGCAAATGTGACTAGTTTTGGCAGCTCCATGACTTGTAGCTCCAAGTCCTCTCTTCTGCCAACGTCATCTGGCCCTTTCCCTGCCCCTCCTGCAGACCTTAA